AGTGCCGTGTTCAATGATTGATGTCTTGATGAATTTCAAGTTGTAAGGGCTAGTCTGATCAAAGAAAGGCGTTATGGCGTGGGGTTCCTGAACCTCGGAGAGCCAACGTTAGGACATTTCACACCGCGAAAAGAAGCAACGTAGTAACCATTGCATAGACGAACTCAAGTCAAATATGAACTTTTAACACCTAGCAAGTAGAGCGATGTCAAAATCGGCTTCTGAGTGGATTCAGATAATTGATCTCATTTTGGATCCGAAGTTGTGTCTGGTGGGTCTAAGGATAGTTGCAGCTCGCGGATGACGAAATAGTTAACTAAAGGACAGTGAACACTTGCCATAAGGACTGAAACAACCTTTGCTGAACCATTTATGAGACTAAACTTGATCAAAGGATTGGCGTTGGAATTATTTAATTCCCTTTCAACCAACAGATATGTTATTTAGGATCCAAATATTCTGACGACGGTTTTTAGAAAGCGTACTCCAAACGTATAATGTGATCAGGCGAAGTGAAAAATAACGTACTTACATGGTGAACATTAATGTATATATAAAATTCAATCAATGATAAATAAAAAATGAATAGAAACACAAAAATAAAGGATCTATTTTTACCTTATTCTAAAAGAGTATGTAAACCCGTGATGGAAAGATACTATAAAAATTATGATTACGTGAGATTAGGACAGCAACTCATTATGAAGCTTCTTTATAACGAAAATAACGATAAATGACCAAATTGTTATGATAGATAAAGGCGACATGGATAGAGGAGCTTACCAGTCGAGTAGGGTGAGTGGCAGCAGCGCCAATTTTCTTCCCTAGTAAGGCAATAGCATTCAGGTGAGTTATGAAGACTGCACTCAGTGTTCTTTGTATGCTTGTCGACCTGGTGCCTACGTGTTACTTTTGGAGAGGATCTAGCAGACAGACTAGGAGTCTTCTGACAACAATGTCGATGCTGGTGATGCGTTACTAAAAAGGGGCGGGGGGGAAAAAAGGGCACCTGCTGGCGCAACATAGCCTCACGAATACGCCATCTGAGAGCCCGATGTCCTGCGGTTTCACCGAACGCTGGACGACCATTTGTAGTTCGCCATACTCGTGAGTAGGCATGAAATAATGCGACTGGATCGTGGCGCAATCGCACGTCAGCAGGTGGGCCTGATTTGATCAGAATTGCCTGAATTAAAGTAAGGTATAACAAATAAGCATAATTATGAGTAATAACAAAAATAATAAAGATCTCAACTCACTCGAACAGAGGCCAGGTCTGCGATACCCTTACGAAGCTGTCGCGAAGGCCACTTTGGCTGAGCACAACATGAATTCCCAAGCTCTATCTTATCCCAAGAATATGAATCTGAGTCGATATCGGTCGACCTGGCTGATAACTTGGTTACGATGGGAATGAACCTTCGACTGCAAAAAAACCTGCAATGTTGAGAAGCAAGTGCCGAAGACGCTATAACTCGTTTAGAAGGCGTGTCTTGATAACCCTGAACATAGGGTCTTCGGAAGCTAGGCATTCGCCGTTCAGGTTGTCTAGCATTAGAGCTTGTAGAGTTCATTGATAGGCCACTCTCAGGGTGATGCAAAGGATCGGTGTCGACAGAAGAATCGACTGGACTACGTGTAACGGTGGTTGAATGTCGGCGACATCGTATGCAGTCCAATGTAGTGTTAAGCGAAGGCGTCTGAGGCAATAAAGATGAAAGCGGCGAGGAGAGGTCTAAACTTATAGTGCCATCATCAGGGCGACAGACACAGCGCATAGCCTTTCTGGTAGTGGTGTTGGGTAGAGAATTCGTGGGAGAAATAGCGTGAGATGAGTGCAAGTTAGTAGGAATCGATGTAAGAGGCTGAAGAGAGGTGCGTCGACAACAAACAGTGGAAGGGCCGGGCGAAATAAGAATACATCCAGATTGCTGCTTAACGGGATGCCGCCTTCGATAGCAAAGAGCAGGAGGGAGGCTGCGATGGCGAGGCACGGCATAAGACTTTACAAGCTGGCATTTGTGAGAGAGAACCGAAGATTTGGTAGTGGACGCCGGATCATTGGGAAAATAGATAATAGTTGGAAGATTTTAATATAAGATGTTGAGTAACAATTGTTTATAAAATATGAAGAGCATGATAGAGTAAATGTAAATATAGCTTTTTAAGGAGATCCTTTGCGGCGGTATAGTGGGTATAGTGAAGCATAATAATCTTCACCACAGGTACCAGGTGCCGTTTGCATGGTTCCAGACCTTCCTTCTGCCCCCTCTATCCTACACAGCTTGTTAATTAGCCGCTGCTAAACAACAAAATCACTGTCCGACTACCCAAGAGCATTTAATTCCCTGCTCAGATTAGGCTATATTCGAGAATATAGAGCAGATGATACCTATGTCCGTGCCTGGAAATCTTCCTCTCCCTAGACTTCAAACCCATGACTCGATTATGCTCTATCTCATCCCCATCCATATTGTGCCCCATTCTTTGGGGCCCTGTGTCCCGCATAACTCAAAACCGCCGATGTGAAAATACACCTCTTCCCTTTTTATCTCCCGAATTTGGAAAAGTACACATTTCTCGTCCCTAAAGTTTACACTCCAGTCTAAGCCTAGGATACTAAGATGTTGTGTGTGTTGGCTGGTATCCTCCGTGGGCAAGCATGTCACAAATCCCTTCTTCTTAAAATGCAGACATGACAAATACACCCAAGAGCACATTCACACACTGGTGACCTATATCTGGCCCACCTATACCTTTAGTTTACTATACCGCATGGCACAGATGGACCAGCCCCCTGATGAATTTTTGGCAATCGCCCTGTCATGACTTCTCTTTGACACTTCCCTCTTTTAATCTTCTGTTCAGCAGTTTTTCTTGAAATATCATTTCCTCATGTTCCAGATCTCAGAACTTTCTGTATCCCTTTTTATGAATAGTAGCACGGGTTCTTTGAGCCTTGTGCTAATTGTCCTCTCCGTCTCTCCTATATATTTTCGTTTACAGTCCTAGCAGCTTACTCGTTAAACTTCGGAACACTCCATTTTGTTGACTTATTCATGTTGGGTAAACAAGCTCGTGAAGCGACTGCATGAATGTTATATTTCGAAAATATCTGCCGCAGCTTCCGAGCCTATTCGCAGGAGGGAGAACATATCCGTCTTCTTTTCTCTGTTTTTCCTGTATTCCCTTCATAATCTCCATCCTTCCATCCGTTCATCACCGTCCGTATCTTGCGTTGTATTGGTTCTTTCGGATATCCATTTCTAGGACGTAACTGAGTTCGCTTTTCCAATTCCCATTCCCAGAACTCAGAATTGATAAGTAGTAGGTTGCCTATGACCATGCTCCGGAGTATTCTAATCTTCATTCCATAAGTATGATTAGCCTGGAAATTAAGAGTCATTCCAGCATGCGAGTTCTTTAGGAAAAGTCGTTTCTCGAGACTTTCCTAATGGGGAATGGCATGTAGATCCAAGAAAGGTAAGTGTGTGTGCTCTCCCACATCCACGATAAATTTGATTCTTTCATCCATTTAGTCTATGAAAATAGACATCGTCTGATTTTTCTTTTCCAATGGACCAGATTACTATGCAGTTTTTGTGATTCAAAGAGTATGTGGACCGTCTCTATAATATAAAACGCAGGGACTCTACAACTCAAAAATTGGAGGCCTCGAAATGAAGAGAGAAAAGGAAAAGTGATAGTAGCAAATGTCCTATTTAGAAACGATTCAAAACAGTATGGGGAGCTGACAATATATAGACAATCAATGAAAGGCGGCACGAAATAGAAAAATCTAAACTCCACGTGTCACAGCGAATGGAAGAAAGAGAAGGAAGAAAACGTGGCCAACCTTAACAGTGTGTTAGCTAGCTACGAACAGTAGCTAGGTTTCGATTGAAATCCTGAGATAAAATTGTTGGGGAGACCTTTATTTCGTATGAAAGTGCATGGATAAGAGAATCATAGATTGCTCTCACCAG